TTCTTATGTGCGAACAGAAGCCCTATGGCATCTTTTTTGGCGCAAAAGCTTTCCGTTATAGTATGAACAAAGCCTAATTGCCTGCTAATATTGTGTGCTTCTTGTTCAGTCTGACCAGAAACTCATAAGGGGTTGAAACGTGTAACTCTCATATGTTTGCTTTGTTCGATGCTCGTAATTATTCATTTTCGAAAGTACCATATTTGGAACGATGAGAGGAGATAAATGACCAATCAAACTTCGTAAGCAACGTGACGTAATTTTACTTCACGTTCCTGCGCCCGCTTAAAGAGGAGATTTCCAGAAGAGGCCTAAAAAATGAAAAACGTGGCACACCCTCTACATATTTGGTCTGACATCACAAAATGATAGGGCAATACTCATAGAACATTTTTAGGTATGATGTAGTGATGTACGGGTGGGACGTCATTGTGCTTGGGGCTCATTTGTGACTGCTGGTAAGGCCCCTGTGATTTAAGCATATATTTAGTATCACTATTTTATACAAGTTCAACTCGACATTACTCCCCTCAAGTTAAGCCTAGACAGTTTTAAATTAGTTCAAGCATTACTGGTGTGAATATCTTTTATTTTAATGTGTAAAACTTCTTAACCAGGTCTCCATGGTAACTGTTGCTATGGTAATTTTTAATTAAGGCTATTTAAGCGATAATTAGCATTACAATGTAGATTCTTTTGAATAATGACCAGACTTATCACTTTTTTATTCATCAACTTAAGTTAATCAAACAAAACAGTATTTGTGACATCAAAATATTATTTTCCAAAACTCGGCATCTACCCAGTAATTATATCTCTACCACTTTATTTATCAAATTCCCATAGCAAGAGATTCAATTGAAAATTTTTGTCTGAATCAATATAGATTCTCAGCAAAAACTACCTCTAATTGCCTGATGCAAGTGTCTTTTTTACTCTTATACTAACGTTTGCGATTCTTACTAAATTGAAAACTTCCCAGAGTGCAAAGGGAGTAAGGCTCCCACAATGCAATTGGTACTTACGGACTGTTTAGTTCAGCCATATTGGATTTTGGTTCGACGCTGTTTTCTTCCACAGGTAAGGTTTTGACTTTAAAAACACGTTCAGTTTCAGTTTAGGAGTAGTTTTATGTTGTTAAGAGCAATTTATCTGAAGATGTGCACAAATCAGAGAGCAAATTTCCATTATTATGTTGAAAATTACGAATATTTAAACGTGTGGCTAGCGAAGGACTGACCATGTGCAAAGGTTTTGGTTTGTAAGCACATCCCTTTCCATTATTTATAAGTAATACTGTTTTGTTAAGGAAATCTATCTAGTTACGTACAAATTATTGACAATGAAACACGTTCTGTATAAGTTTTTATCAGTAATTTTGCTTTGCTTAGAACAATTTATCTGAAACTATACACAAATATATAGAGCAAATCTCCAATTTTATCTTGAAAAGTGCATATATTCAAACATATCGCCAGGAAACAACTAACTACGTAGGACATGTTTTCTTTTTTGAATTCAGAAGTTAATCACTGCTAATTTTAGGAAAGCAGGTTTCCTGATCGGAGGAAAGAATCTATGATTCCTTTTTACTTTTTCTTAAGATGATTGGTAATGGCTAGTTGTACTGAAAGCAGTGAGGAAGAAAGCGAAGTGAGGCTTCTGCCTCCAAAAAAGAAGCCCAAATCAGATACAGACTTAACAAAATGTATTATTTGTCAAGAAAAAAGCAGTGAAAGACTAAGAAGTCCTACCGAAGCTGGATTGAGATCGTTTAAAGAAGCTGTAGAGGTTAGGAAAGATGAAACTTACCACAGGATTTTGTCGACTTTTGAAAATTTAGACGCTCTAGATGTTGTCTGGCACGGCAAGTGTTTTCAAAGTTATACAAGCAAGAGAAATCTTAGCTTTATTAAACCATTACCTTTTGCTGAAAGTCAAGAAAGGCACGTTGACAGACCAAGTTCGAGATCGTAAGTTAATGCAGTGGATTGGTCCCTTTGTCTATTTTGTCAGTAGAAAAAATCAAAGGGGACAACAAAACTTATGAACGTTTCAACATTTGATTCATGCAAGGCTATAGAGGAGGCTGCAAGAAGAAGGAGTGATGAGAGCATGCTCAGGAGTTGATCTGATTGCTGCGGAGGCCAAGTATCATAAACACTGCCGCTCCCAATATGTAAGTAAATCCAACCTAATGTTTGTTGACTTTCGAGTTGATGGGGAGGAAGATGTTTACACCCAAGCGTTCCAAAACCTGAGAGAGGACATCAAAGCTCAGTTAGAATCAGGAGTGGCCCTTGATATGAAAACCCTCTTGGACTCTTACCAGGGAATTTTGCAACACCTTGGCTGCAACACGGCAAAAAGTTACAAGTCAGAGAGGTTAAAACGCAGACTGCAACAAAGTTTTCAAGAGGAAATTGTCTTTCAGAAGCTACCGGATCCCTCGAGGCCAGAGTTGGTTTACTCTAGCTCTATATCTTTACATAACATAACATAAAACTTTATTTAAACTCGAATTTTAGGGTAGCTAACAAGCTAATATCTTCGAGCTGACACTACATAAAAACTATATAGAAAATATATATATACATTAAATGCAAGGAAAGAAAATATCATTTACAATTCACAATTTTAAGTTTAAGTATGTCAGGCAAAAAGAATCTACATGAAGGTAACATCCTGTATTTTAGTCTTAAAGTCTGCAAAAAAACTGGTACGAAAAAAGTCCGGCAGTGCATTCCACTGCTTAGCTGAAAAGTCTTTGCAGTCTTTTCATCTTTGCAGGATGTCATCAATTCAGCCGTTAAGAAAAGTTTCCATTTGGCTAAAATGTCAGCGTCTTCTGAAGATGAATCCTCAAACAGCCAGGGTCAGAATGATGTCAATTCCATACTATACCACGCCGCTCAAATACTGAGGTCAAGCATACGGAGTGAAAGCAAAAGTATAGGGATCCAGCCTGTTGATGTGGAGGACATCAGTGCCTGTAAAGTAAAGAGTTTAATGCCTAAAGATCTTTACAATTTTTTGTGCTTGATGATCTCGAATCCAGATAAAGTTGATGTATCTGCTCCGACTGCTTCGAATGCCGCAGATGAGCGACATATTTTAGCAATTGCACATGATCTAATATATGCAACAACTCATTGTCGCGTGAAGACCCCTAAGCACATTGGTTTGGCGATGTCTGTTCGCCATATGACAAGTTCAAAGCACCTGGTAACGATGTTAAACAGATTCGGTCACTGCTGTTCTTATGATGACATAGAAGTAGTTGACACTAGCCTAGCATTAGACATTATAGCCAGTTCAGAAAATCTTGGTGCTGTTGTTCCATCTAACATTTCACCAGGAGTGTTCGTTCAAGTCGCGGGAGACGATAACGATATTAATGAGGAGACACTAGACGGCAAGCAAACTACTCATGCCACTACACTTGTGCTGTACCAAAGAAAGCAACAAGCACCAAAACCGAAACCTTCAGTTCGTCCTGCTCATTCAGAAAAACGACGGTCTCTTAACATCTCAGATGCAAATCCACCCCTGTTGGAGTTTGGTGCTTGTGGCAAGCGGCCTGCCGTAACCTTTTACAAAGACAAAATAGAAGACGAGTGGTTTCAGTCCTCAAGCTCGCTCTGTACCACTGCAATTCAGATGGATTTTGGTTGGTTTTTAACACGTCTGTGTACCCACCAGTTGTTTAGTGAAAATCTACATAACCGCGAAGGCGAAGTTTTTCAGCCCTTGCCAAGTTGGAGTGGGTTTAACGCAAAGATAGCAAGTGAGCCGCCACCCTTGACCTCCGTTGGTTACTGTCCAATGATCAATGGTTCACCTACTGAATACAGTACAGTTTACACTGCCATGATGAACGTCCAAGCAATGATGGATGTACCACACCAGAAGCACAGTGTAATTACGTTTGACCTGGCAATCTACCTGAAGGCCAAAGAGATTCAGTGGCGAAGGCCTGAAGAATTTAAGAACACAGTGATCCGAATGGGGGGTTTTCATATAGCATTACACTTCCTCTAAGTTATTGGAAAGATTTTCCAGGACAGTGGCATTGAAGACCTGCTAATAGAATCTGGTGTGTATGGATGCCACACGGCATCTATGCTATTGAAGGGAAAGTCATACAACAGAGGCGTGCGTGCACATAAGCTTGTTCTCGAAGCACTACTGAGGCTGCAGTGGCAAGCATTTGGAGCTTGGATGGAAGCTGAGGACGTCGAGCTCCCAACAGTATATCAGCGCCAGTGTTTATCTTTAATAAACTGTTGTCAAAGAGAAAGTAATGATGTAACCTCTCTGAAGACCTCATTCGGTCTTCTCTGCGACAAACTCCCACAACTTCAACAACTTTTCGCGTGATTCTGCACAGAAGCTAGTAAGCAGTCTAAACTATTCCAGTTCTGGAATATGCATATTGACATTGTTCTATTGCTGTTGCGCTTCATTCGAGCTGAACGAGAAGGATCATGGAAACTTCATTTGAAAGACGTTGCAGAAATGGTACCGTACTTCTTTTCAATGGATCGCATCAACTATTCCAGGTATGTGGGCAATCGATTTATTCTGATTATCTTTTTTCATATCTTTCATATTGGCTGCAAATTGTGCATCAGTACTAAAGAACAGTAGCCTAATTGAACTTTAAAAGAGTGATCGCTACGAGGATTAGAGGTCTTATATGATAAGGATTTGTAATATGATAAGGATTTGTAAGGATTTACTCCCCTTTGCTTCGAAATGATGCGTTTTGTTTAAGACTGAATTATAATATATCCAAATTATTACGGGATTTATTCTTTATCCCAAGTGGTGAACGCGTTTGTTCAAACGCATGAAGAGATCTACACATTATCATAGGACGTTACCTTATTATGCGGTTAGCTTTAACTTTCTCACTTACCCGTCCCCTTCTTACGTTTCTCTTATTTTGACCTCTTCCTCCAATAAATTGCAGGTGGCTCCCAATCTACTTGGCTGATATGCAGCTGCTTCCCACTCACGCTCCAGAAGTTTACGAAGAATTCCTAAATGGCAACCACCCAGTGAGTAGATCAAGTCAACCCTTTAGCCTTTGGACTGACATGGCCTTGGAACAAACTATCAATCTCGACAGCAAGACTAGAGGGGGTATTGTTGGCTTGACACAAAATGCTTCGGCACTAGACAGATGGTTTATAACAAGTCACAAGAGAGCTGAGCTAACTGCTGCAACCAAGCGACTTTGCAACCTTGAAGACTCTGACAAGATTGGGACTCACAAGGAGGCAGGTTCCCAAAGAGTAAAGAGGAATGAAAACGATGTTCAGCGGCTGATTAACACCATTACTGATACCATGTCAAACCCTTTTGATTTGAGTGAGGCATCGAAGGAAGAAACAGTTCAATTACGAAACATCGCCACTGGACTCGTTATGCCGCATGACGCGGCAGAGCAGCTCGTTGACTGTTTCAGCACAGGAGCAGAAGAAGCAAAGAAATTTAGGAGACAAAGAATGGACAGTGATGGGGTATCCTTTTGGAGCAAGATATCGAAATTGAATTTGAAAACATTTGCTTCTCTGGCAAAAACAAATCAAATCAAGTGCGCAGACGAGAAGATCATCACTATTTCAGCTGACAGAAATTTGTTTGGAAGACTTCTAATTGCTGCAAAGTGTCGTGACGTTGATGTGAAAGAGGTCCTGAGATATGAACTGTCCACCGTGCCCTTTGCATTGGCACATGCAGATGGTGCTTTGCGGAAAACTACAAAAAGTGCCCTAATGGCTGAGGTTGAACGGGAATGTCAAGCACAAGGAAGACTTCCTGAAAGTGCACTATCAACCGCATTCATTTTTGATGCAATGGCTCTTGTCCAGACGTCGAAGTCTGCAGGCTCCCGCACATTCGGAGACCTAGCTGAAAGATACTTTAATGTGCTCTTCACACTTCTACGACAAGGTCAGAGCAGAAGAGTAGATGTTGTCTTTGACGGCTATGATGTTCAAGAGTCCATAAAGGAAAGTGAAAGAGTTAGGAGGGGTTCAAGCAGAGCTCTTGAGATCCAAATCACAAACAAGCATACACCAGTTCCAAAGCAATGGGGGAAGTTTATCAGCAACCAGAATAACAAGGTTAACCTTTCCAGATTTTTTTGCCGAGAGTGGTGCAGTCTGGGTGAATACAACTTACTTCCTGATCAAGAGCTGGTAATTGGAGGTGGCTTTGAAGATCCAACAGATGCAGTTGTTGTAACCCGTGGACGTACGGATCCCCTTGCAGAGCTGAGATCAGACCATGAAGAAGCCGACACAAGGATGATCCTTCATGCGTGGAACGCCTCTTCCACTAAAGAGAGGATTGTCATTCAGTCCCCTGATACAGATGTTGCTGTATTAGCTATCTATGAATACCAGATGATACAGTGCAACGAAATGTGGTTCAAGACAGGCGTCAAAGATAAGGTTCGCTTCTTCCCTGTCCATCGTATTGCTGAGAAGCTTGGTAGGAGTGTTTGCAAGGGGTGGGCATTTGACAAATTTTAAAATTTTTTGATCAAATTCCTCAGGGTGAGAAAAGAAAGGTCAATCAAAAGTGTCAAAAAAGCCCTCACCCCAGGGGAAAATCTAAACAAACAATACTATAATACTATTTAAATCGAATAAAAGAACATTTCAAAAGTACGTTCTTACTACTTTTATTTAAGGTTAACGTAAGTTCCGTTAAATTACTCGCTGTAATTAATTATTTTCTACGTATTTTCTCTCTCCACTAGCATCTCTTATTTTGAGCAACATAATCGCTCCAGGAAGATTGACCGTGCTAGTATATTAATGAAACGTAAAATGCTTTATAACATCTGCTCAACATGTCGGAACGGGTCGGATCAGTGACCCGTAAAATCCTCTGACTTTCATGGTAAAATTCGATTTCCATCGAGGTTTACAATCAGATGGGAACTTGAAGATAAAAACTTTCTCGAAATAGACATTATCTTTTTAGATGACAGTGTAAAGTATCGGATTATGTGATTAAAACAAATGAAAACTTCATACCTTTCTCCAACAGCGTGACTTTCAGAAAGCCTCGGGGGACGGACTTGGTAACCGCTTCTGAATTGATACCAGGCTTCTATCGGTCAAAGTCAAATGTCGCTTCGCACGATCAAAAGCCCGACAGGGGGATAGTCTCAGGCATGAAATCCCCTCCCCTTGCCCCCACTCCCCCCCCAACGGGATTTACATTGATAGGTGCATTACCACCCGGGCCAAACGTAACATTGTGAAACCCATTGACGTCCTCGCAAATTCTTGAAGTTGTCATTTCAAAAAACGATACCTCATTCACGCTTTGTACAGTAAACTAAAAACTGCTAATAGGCTTTTAAATTTCTTATATTACTAGTCTAGAATAAATAGTAAAAAATATTTTCGAATAAAATTCATTAGCTGCGTATCGAAAAGTGTCCAAAACATGAACCTGACATCTTCGAAAAAAGTGATGCGTGTAATGAATGTAAGAAGCATCTAAGCTTAAATTCAGCTTGGATGTTGTAGTCACGATCGTGTGTTGAGCTAATTTTATGAATGAACAAACTTACAAAGTCAAAACAATAGACAGCGAAGCCGTTTCTTGAAAATTTTTATTCAAAATCCAAAAGGTTAATCCTTTAAAGCAATTCGGAAAACACTAACTGGATCGTGGATCCATTCGCGCAAGTGAAATCGCCGAGCACTTGGCAAAATTCAACACAAAATCTATCTCAAATCAGGGCACATTTTGTAATTTTTCTTTAGCGCCGAAGAGAAAAATTTATAAAACGTCTATGAAACATTTAAAAATACATAAATGCCCTTTCAAAAACGTAATCGTCTTGGCCATAGAGTGCAAAATGTACCTGAAAATTCAGCAAAAACTTCGCTGCCTTGGTTGCATTTAACAGACCAATGATGCGCTCCGCAGCCATGAGGAGCCGCATTAAGAGGCTGTCCGCGTAAGAACCGATAAGGCAAATTTCGGTCTATCACGGATTGCCCTGATTTTTTCAGTGGAAGATAACTATCCTATCACATGAAGAAATATCACATTTATTTGGACCAACTCAATTTTTTCTCTATTTTACAGGAAGATTTTCTCGGTCACCTAAAACTAGCCAGTTTGCCGTCGGAAGTGGTGCGATATTGCTGAGACTTTAGGGCTCTGTCAAACCTACCTTACATAGCCGAATAAGCTGATTATGTTACACACAAAAGTTTTAACTCTGATCAATAGTTTCAAGGTTTAATGGTTGCATTCTGTGGAAAGTTGGCTGGGATATGATTTTTTTAAAATGACCTTTAACTTGCTCAGCAGGAAAAGTAATTTGCATAACTAGAGCTGAACGGTAATTTCGCAAAAGTGGCACCTGACCCAGACTCAAGTCTATGATAAATCAGAAGTACTAAGACCAGTCTACTTCTTAATGCAATAAAATTTGTGGGCACTCTTCTCTGCGCGCTGTACAAAGTTCCGTTAATGTTACAAAATTCGCCATTTTGATAGCAAAGCTGGAATTGTAACGGGTCCGCATCTGATCGACTAATTTCCACAGCTTTAACGTTTCTAGATATCAGTAAATGTCATTAGACCCTTTAAATGTTGGACGTTTGAAAACATGTGGAGAAAACTTAGTAATCGCTTTTCCTTGGGTCTTTTTCTTGTCGACGATGAACGTGACTTCATTCTCCGTGTGCAAATTAGCCTTAGATGCGTTGTTTCAACAAATTGACAGGAAATATAATCCTTGCATTTCACATTTCTAAGGGGAAAAATAACTCTCCTTTCCACAGAAAAACACAAACCATGACTTAGAATCCCCTTAAGGTCTTCTCTTTTCTTTAACGAGAAAGAAGCAGCTGAATAATATATCATGATATATGTTTGCGTGGCTTAAAATAATTCAATTACTCTGGTCTGTCACGCATTCCTAAAGAGGGGTGGTCGATTAGAAAACAATAGCGTTGTGTCCATCAATTCTATAATATTATCATCTTTTTTTTAAATGATAGTTATTGATAATAATAAAAAATAAGAGTTCACTTGCAAGGTAAGTCCTCTTGTCAGCACACGAACATTTTGGGCACTCTTTTTTGCCTGCCTTAAAAAATAGCGTTAACGTCGAAAGCTTTATTATGATATTTGCTTATCAGGAGAAGGCAGATCTTTGTACATGGCACTAAGATAAAAAAAATGCCCCACACTTTTTCTATCTTAAATTAGCAGTAAATTTCAGTTTCGTTCAAAGATCTTTAAAGCGTTTATCGGCAGCAGAATGAAACGGGAAAAATAGTTCCTTTTTCAGTGAATAAACGCAAAAGGGAGTATCTTTTTAGTTTTTGTTAGGGTATAACATCCGAATTCCAACGATGATCTTGTTTTGGTTTCAATGTGATTGAATTATAATGCAACAGGTTCCAGTTTCAAATATAATTATGTCAATGAAATCGCGAAAGAGATCAATTGTGAAAAATGGCTTTTTCGGTCATTTCATCAAGCAAGTTCTTCCGCGAGATCGTAGACAGAGTGAGGTCCCAGTAGGGGTGTGGAGGAATATCATTTATGCACTCTGTGACCAACACATATTACGTCGCACTTAGCCAGCTGTCACTTGTCTAAGAGTAGGAAGTGTAGCAAAGACAATGAAAATGAGCTCATTTTAGCGAGAGTACGTATTCGAGGCTTGGTGGGTATTCGGAACTGAAATGTCAATCTGCCCAAGGCACAGACACTAAATAGACCCGCCTCCCCTCAGGCTAACACTAAAATGACAATCTGCCCAAGGCACCGAAAACCTACTTGGCAGGTTTTTGCGAGCGCCAAGGTCTTGTTAGGCTCGATTGTAAGCCGCTGTTCTGGAAAATGAGCCCCCAACGGACGGGGAGACGGCGGAAATCGAGCCTAAGGTCTTGTCAATAACCCGGTCACACTCTGGATCATACTGGCAAAATAACTTCTGTGGCAGGAAGATATGTCGTAAATTTGCAGATAGCCAGCGAAATGAGTCAAAGTTTTGTTCCATCGCGTAAGTGTCATTCTTTTTTCTTCGTCGTGCAAAAAAGTCTCTTAACGTACAGAGATATTCTAATTTCTCTATTTCACATTTCATCTTGCGATGTTTTCTGAAGTTCGTTTCCAGTTTATTTGAGCTTGCAAAGATAGTTTTTATTTCTATTTTTTTGACAGCAGTGTATCTTGCCCTAATCAATTCTTACCTTTAAAATGCTATACATACCGGTTAATCCGTGTGATGTAAAAGATAGTTTTCTGATGATAGTTTGAAGAGCATTATAAATGGGAAAAAAAGAACTTTCTACACGGAGTCAGGATTCAACCTCGTTCCCAGGGCTTTCCCGCCCATGCCATTTTCTAAGAAGAATGTCCTGGGGACGAAGCTAGGAGTGATTGTGGTCGACGTGTCGTATAGCCGATTTGCTCCTCCTGTCGCAAGAAACTTGAAAAATCTTGACGCCGAAGGGTCGAGAAGAGTACGATTGAACAGTCAGCAACCATGTCCACACATTTGCCGGAGAGGATTATTGGACAAGATTTCTCTGTTTTTTTTTGTTTTGATATCGTTTTCATTAAGTCTTCAAAAATGCCTCCAGATTGCTGTTTTTTTTTTGTTTTTTTTGTATTTATACCCTCTTGACCAATGTGCTCCATCTCATCTCTCCATTTTTAACCTACCTTACCATCCACC